TGTCATTCATTTGTTTTTGTGGCCAAATAGTATTCCATGTGTGCATATACTACATTTTAACTATCCATTCTTCAGTTGATAGACATTTCATTTGTTTGCACTTTTGGAGGTTACGAACAATGCTGTTGTGAACATCTGCATATAAGTTGTTGCGTGGACTTAATTTTCACTTTTCTTGCGTATGGTAACTCTTTTAACTCTTTGAGGAACTGCCAAACTGTTTTCCAAAGGGACTGCCCCCTTTTATATTCTCATTAACAATGTATGAGGGTTCTGTTTCTCCACATCCTCACCGGCATTTGCTATTATCTGTCTTTTTAGCCATACCCCTTCTTTTAGGTGTCAGGTGGTACTTCATTGTGGTTTTGATTTGTATTCCTCTGATGGATAATGGTGCTGAAAATCTTTTCATGTGTGTATTGGACATTTGTATTTCTTCTTTGGAGAAATGTCCATTCAGATTGCACATTTTTTAATTGGTCAAATAAAAAAAATCTTTTATTGTTGAGTTCCAATAGTTCTCTATATATTCTAGATATAAATCCCTTATCAGATAAATGAGCTGCACAAACTTCTCTCATTCCGTGGTGATGGAGTCCGTTGAAGTTTTTAATTTTCATAAAGCCCAGTTTATCTTTTTTTTATTTTGTCAATTGTGTTTTTGATGCCATATCTAAAAAGTCTTTGCTCAATCCAAGGTCATGAAGATTTATATTCCTATATTTCCTTCTAAGAGCTTTATAGTTTTAGCTACTTCATTTAGGTATATTTGATCCATTTTGTGTTAAAATTTTGTGTATGGTGTGAGGAAGGGGTTCAACTTCATTTGTGTGCAGATATCCAGTTGTCCCAGTACCATTTGCTGAAAATACAGTTCTTTCCCCATTGAAGTGTCTTGGCACTCTTGTCAAAATTAATTTGACTGTAGGGGCGCCTGGGTGGCTTAGTGGGTTAAGCCTCTGCCTTCGGCTCAGGTCATGATCTCAGGGTCCTGGGATCGAGCCCTGCATTAGGCTCTCTGCTCAGCGGGGAGCCTGCTTCCCCCTCTCTCTGCCTGCCTCTCTGCCTACTTGTGATTTCTCTGTCAAATAAAAACGATCTTTAAGGGGGGCCTGGGTGGCTCAGTGGATTAAAGCCTCTGCCTTCGGCTCAGGTCATGATCCCAGGGTCCTGGGATCGAGCCCCACATCGGGCTCTCTGCTCAGCAGGGAGCCTGCTTCCTCCTCTCTCTCTGTCTGCCTTTCTGCCTACTTGTGATCTCTGTCTGTCAAATAAATAAAATCTTTAAAAAAAAAAGATCTTTAAAAAAAATTAATTTGTAAATGTAGTGAGAATTTTCTCTTTAAACAATATTTTGTAGTTTCAGAGTGTTTTACATTTCTTTTGTTAAACTTATTTCCAAGTATCTTATTCCTTTTCATGCTATTATAGACTTGTTTTCTTAATTTCATTTTAAGATTCTTCATTGCGAGTATATATAAACAGAATTGATTTTTGCATATTTATCTTTCTCTTGAAACCTTGCTGAACTCATTTATTAGTTTCTAATAGTTCATTGAAAAGTTTTAAATGAGATAGTGGCATAATTAGATTTTTATTTTAGAGATACTACTCTTTTTTTTTTTTTTTAAAGATTTTATTTATTTATTTGACAGACATCACAAGTAGGCAGAGAGGTAGGCAGAGAGAGAGGAGGAAGCAGGCTCCCTGCTGAGCAGAGAGCCCAATGTGGGGCTCAATCCCAGGACCCTGGGATCATGACCTGAGCGGAAGGCAGAGTAAGCGCTTAACCCACTGAGCCACCCAGGCGCCCCTGGAGATACTACTCTTGATATGTTGTGGAGTATGGCTTGGAGGAGAGATCAGGCTAAATCTAGTAAGACTATGTAATTATTTCGTATGAATGGTGAAAAAAGGTTAAAACTAGGGTTGTGGCTATAGAAATGGAAGGTAGGGAATGGAATCCCATACTTTCTAGGATATAGAATGCATGCAACGTGGTGACTCTTTGGCTGTTGTAGTGAAGGACAATGAGGCCTCTTGGTGATTCCAGGTTTCAGGTTTTGGCAATTTTGCCAGCTATTTGATGATATTGGAAATAAAGGAAAAAGAATGCAAGTTTAAGGACGTGTGGGAACAGGTGATGAGTTCACTTTCGGACATACTGGGTATGAAGTGCTGGTAAAGCATTTGAGTGGAGATGTGTGGAACACCACTGAAGATGTGAGTGCAGAGCTCCAAAGAGAGGTCCGATTGGGAGCTGTTGATACACTATGGTTCCTGAACATAACGGATTGAATTTGCTATGGAAAAACAGGCTTAATAAACTACTGATCTTTTAAACAGACTAATGCAAAACAGAATGAAGAAGATAATTCCAAATGGACATAAACATGGCAGCGATAACTGGTGGAATTAGAAATGTTCTAGGGAGGAGGAGGAATAAAAGCTCTTTGTAGTTTGAGCAGGTTTTTAGTGGGAGATACGAGTCATACATAAATTTCAATTAATATTTAGAAGTTTTCCTTTTTATAAGTTAATGTTTATTATATGTATTTTATATTTAGTTGTAAATGTAGCATATTGTGACAGTGCAGAAAATAACTATCCATAATTTTGTTCCATTAATGTTATTATTATGGCCATCTATTTCTCTCTTAGATTAAATGAAATTAATGCTTTGTTGAGATGTCACCGTGAGTGTTAGGTCATTAACCAGGCTGACCGTGGCTGGGGAATCTTTGGCAGCTCAGAACGTGCACCTAGAGGGCGGCATTCCTGCTTCTGAAGTTTTGAATCAAGGGGCTCATTTTCAGATAAGATTCAGTCAAGGCTTAGTCCTTTAAATTAACTTCAGATAGGTTTGGAGTATCTGCTTATAATTGCTTTTTAATTCAAACCACAATGTGGCTGTGTATCATCCTCCTGGGCCTACTTTCTTTCCCTTAGAACCGTACGGACATTCATAATGTTTATTAATTAACAACAAAGAATTTTTGTTTTTGTTTTATGGGATGCATCCAGGATGATGTCATTATCTAAATTCTCTCATTATAGGTGTTCTTCTTTTGGGAGATGCATATAATATGAGACATCCTCTTACTGGAGGAGGAATGACTGTTGTTTTTAAAGATCTGAAATTATGGAGAAAATTGCTAAAGGGTATCCCTGACCTTTATGACGATGCAGCTGTTTTCCAGGTATGATATTATTCTTTGGCAAAAATGTCTCAATAGATTTCTTTCTGGGCCTAAGAGGAATGGGGCCTTACTGGGGAGATCAGTACCCAGGAATCTGATCCCAAGTCCTGGTCTTTAGGCAGTCTTGTTCAGGCATAAAGAACCGTGAGCCTGTGCAACCCACAAATCTCACAGAATTTCTAAATTTCTGTGTTTGAATATTATGTCACATTGGATTGAATGGACCATTTTGCTCATAGAAATTGTATATTTTGCTTTAGAGTTTTGGAAATCCCATTCCTTTGGAGATGTTTTGTGTGTATATATAAATGATAAATGTAAGATATGCTTACTTATAGATGATCTTCAGGATAAACATCAGTTTGAGGGGATTGTAAACATTGATTTGTGCTTTCCCCCCACGCTTACCATGTAATAAGTGATGTTTTTCTTTTTTAGGCCAAAAAATCATTCTATTGGGCAAGAAAAACATCTCACTCCTTTGTTGTGAATATCCTTGCTCAGGCTCTTTATGAATTATTTTCTGCTCCAGATGGTAAGTATAGATATTTTTAAACGAAAATTACTGAGCTGCAGATTTTTAGCACAGGAAGGGAGCTTAATTGTAAACAAGTTAGTGATGAGGAGAAATAGCCGTGTTTCCCCAGTCTGCTGGATCCCAAGTGGCAGCCCTTTGTAACTCCATCCTTGAGCAAGATTTTTCGCCTCTAATCATCATGTATCCACCACCTTGTGTGGAAGGCTTAAGACAACCTTCCCAGCACTACTTCAGTAGTGTATCTTTATTAATTCCTCTGGTCCAGATCAGGGCACGCATATCCATAAATGCATAAGTTGTGATAGAGGATCTTTCCGACCGTGAATTAAAATGTAATACAGTTGTTAATCTTTTTCTTTCTGAACACAAGTTTCAATTTCTTTTCGAAGTAGTATTTTTTAAAATGAGTATGAGCTGCATAACAAGTTTGGATTTTGTCTCCTATTACAGTGCACAAGTAAAATGAATCTTTTACTCATTTGAAATAGTCCCATGTTTTTGTTTTTGTTTCCGTATTGTAAAGTGGCGATGGTCAGTCTGTATATTAAGGAAAACGTGATTTAGCAGAAGCAGTATTAGAAATGGAGTTAGATGGGACGCCTGGGTGGCTCAGTTGGTTAAGCGGCTGCCTTCGGCTCAGGTCATGATCCCAGCACCCTGGGATCGAGTCCCACATCCGGCTCCTTGCTCGGCAGGGAACCTGCTTCTCCCTCTGCCTCTGCCTGCCTCTCAGCCTACTTGTGGTCTCTCTCTCCCTCTAAAAAAAAAAAAAAAAAAAAAAAAAAAAAAAAGAAATGGAGTTAGAGGTGACCATGCCACTGCCCAAGTCCAGCAGCGTAGATTAGTTAATGGTAGATTAACGAAACTGGATGTGTAGGTTTTCAGGAATAAATGTAATTCCAGTCCTATTACTTCAGATATATACAACAAAGCTACTTCTATGAACTGGTCAGGGTCCCAGCGATCTATGCTTTGGTGACTCGAGTACAAAGGATAATACAAGTACCTTCTGTAGCCTCTACATGCATTATTCTTGCTAAAAGAAAAAAAAAAAAAAACAACTTACTGATTGTGTTTGCCAGTCAAACTTCTCTTGCCAATTGGTATGGAAGCTGAAATGGCTGGGTGGGCAAGTAAAAAGGGAAGAATCAAGGTTTGAGTTGTTCAAAGTGCTTCTTTTTAAGCTTTCCTAAGCTCTTGATTTTCTTACATTATGAATTTGAATCTGTCAACAAAAAACTTTTAAAAAGTTATGAAAGATCAGAGGAAGAAAGAGTTTTATTGGAGTAAGTGTACCATATTACATCTTTCTTTAATCTGTTCTAAAGAAAAAATCTAGGTACACCTTAAAGAAACATTTATTCCAAATAAAATTATTGGTTGATAATACTATGTTGTGAGGGTTTAATCAGTCACTTTGAAAAGTATGAAAAACTATACAGATCTAAGGCATTGTTAATGTTTACCTTCATAGCTGTCCTTTTACTTGATAGTTTACTGCTTAGAGATACAAGTTGGGTATCTTAGAGACTGGGAATTTGGTTTCTAGAATTGTGTTTTTGAACAAAAAGTTTGCAGAATATTTGCATCACTTAATGAATTTACAACACAGTCAAGGAAATAACTTTTAAATAACTTTTTAAACAACTTTAACTTCCAAATTTTATTTTAGATTCCCTACATCAACTAAGAAAAGCCTGTTTTCTTTATTTCAAACTTGGTGGAGAATGTGTTGCTGGTCCTGTTGGGCTGCTTTCTGTGTAAGTTGTTTTGTTGACACAAAGGAACCAGATCTTTCAGATTTTCTTTGGACTGCTCAGTTTATGAATTACTGCAAGTCTTTCTTCCTTCTACCTTTTGTCAACTTTACTGTCCCTAAGAAGCCTAATCAGAAAGTTGCTCAGAGAAATGAAGAAAGCAACATTTAGCCCTGTGTTTTACTTCTGGGAAAATAGTGTTGAATAGAAGCTGGTGGTAGATGAGGCCAAAGCTCTGATTAAAATAGAAGCTTGGGGCGCCTGGGTGGCTCAGTGGGTTAAATCCTCTGCCTTTGGCTCGGGTCATGATCTCAGGGTCCTGGGATAGAGCCCCGCATTGGGCTTTCTGCTCAGCAGGGAGCCTGCTTCCTCCTCTCTCTCTGCCTGCCTCTCTGCCTGCTTGTGATCTCTGTCAAATAAATAAATAAAATCTTAAAAAAACAAAACAAAACAAAACCAGAACCTTGTTTTTTGCCGGTGGTTTTAACCACATGATCTGACCTGTGGGAACCATGGATAATAGAAGAATCTGTATTAAAAATTTACTTTGATTAAGGTGCAGGGACTTGTGAAACTCACTAATGGTTTTGACAGTGCAGACATATGTAGAATTATTCTTGAAAAGTCTGCACAGTAAAATTCTTTAAGTCTGTACTCCTTTGTCTATAATCTGAAATGTCAATACTGTTCCTTCTGTAAAACCTAAGACTCCCACAGGTCAGGCCATCCCGGTACTTGAGGCAGAGATCTCAAGAACAGTGAAAGAAAACAGCTTCACACATACAGTGTATGTCAAACAGACTTAGAGTTCCTGGCTTCTCTGACAGACAGGGGTATATTCTAAGGAGTTTCTTATAAGAACATTTATTTGTCCCTGCTGTCAGAGCACAGGCAACACAAGCTTCCAGAGTCCTCTAGAATGCAGAATATGTGTTTAGTTTTTATAGGAGATATGTAATTAGAATCTTTCTATGAGTAAAGTTTAATTGCTGGGTCTTACTAATACATGCATTTTTTTTTTTTCTCTTACAGCCTGTCTCCTAACCCTCTCATTTTAATTGGACACTTCTTTGCTGTGGCAATCTATGCCACATATTTCTGCTTTAAATCGGAACCTTGGATTACAAAACCCCGAGCCATTCTCAGTAGTGGTGCTGTATTGTACAAAGCATGTTCTGTAATATTTCCTCTGATTTACTCAGAAATTAAGTACCTGGTCCATTAAACTTACAGGGAACCATTTATGAACAAATATTTGGAACTCATCAAGTCCTAAGAGACTTTTGGAAGAGGATGTACATAGCATAGAACTATCCCACTTCTAAAGTGGAAACTCCTGGACCAAGATTGGGGTTAATTCATTTTTGAAGTTATCTGTATATAAACATGTAAATACATACTTTGCAATTTAAAATGAAGGGTAAAGTAGACATTTAAAAGAAATGATTTTATCTTAAATTAGTGCTAACACTGAGGAACTGTGGTTTTTCTTTTGAATTTAGTATCTGGGAGGAGTCATTGTGGGACATGCAAATAAAGTGAGGAATGAACTGTAATGTCTTTTTGTCTCTGTCGTGGCCTTGAGGTAGCCTCGTGATCATGGGAAGGAAAACCAAAGCGGGATGGAAAATGTAGAGGGAAGCCTGTTCTGTGAAATAACTGATGTTGGGGAAGTTGCCTTAAAAATCTCTGGACTTGATTTTCCTCATGTATCCTATGAGGCAACTTTAAGGCTCTCCTCTGGGTTCTTTGGAAACACCAGGTTCACAGGAACGCAATCAGGGCTTTATAAGTTCCATTATATAACATGACTTAGCCAGGCTAGGATTACTTACAGAAGCAGTGAATGAACAAACAAGCATTCGTAATATCTGGCATAATGCTTAGAAATCAGAATTCACTGAGTTTTCGTATATTTGAAGAGACTGTGGACATCAGAAAGGTATCATAAAATTTCAGCAAATCCCTAAATATCACTAAAGTCACTCCCCCTGAAAGAGCAGTAACACATACCTTGGAATGTTACGTAACTACTTCAGATTATAATGATAAGGGCAGAAAGAACTTAAAAAGCTTCTGTAACAAAAATTTCTCTTTTTCACCTTGTCAGTTGTCTCCATTGAGGATTGGTCACTAGCCAAATCGCTCGTGGTGTCGGTCACGTACATCATTTGCCTCATTTTAGCAGCATACGGTGGACCCATTCACTCGGTTCTGTGAAAGTCCCCTTTGGTTTATCCCATACTTTTCTAGTTAAAATCTCACTTTGTCAGATCAGGCCTTTTTAGCAGCTGGCTTTCTTTGGGGGCCATTTTCACATAGAACCAAATATCTCACTTCATGCAGTTACTGATTACAAATGGAATACAGCAAGGTATTTTTGAGATGTGGCTGTAGGATGGCCATGGACTGACTGGCTAAGTTCTCATGTACCGTACCAGCGTCCCAGTGCACGACAATTCCAAACTCCGTACGTGCAGGGCAACAATTCACTTATAAAATGCTGTGCTCAGCCTCCAGTAGGCTGGATCACTGGGCTGGGGCTTAGGTTGCTGAGGAAGGCAGGGGAGGAAGGAAGGAGCAGCTGAAGTTGGGAGACCTACAGAAGGAATACTGAGAACCCCCCCAGGGTCTCTGATTGGAAGAGGACAGTGAGCCTCAGACACCAAGAAATTTCCATGGTATGTGGTCCACTGATTTCATGGTCTCTGTGTTTGCTACTGGTCCAGCTCTCACCACCCGCCTGCCAGCCTGTTGTGGGTGTATCCAAGGGACCTACCCAACATACCTCTTACCTTCTGGAAAAGATTTTTTTTTTTTTTTAACAGGATGAATATAGAGCTTTGTAATCACAGGCAGAATGAGAACTTCGGGTACTGGCAATACTATCTTACTGAAAATCCAGAGTTGAACAAATAGTTCTTTAGAACATAAAACTAAATGGATTTATTTGTAACAATGACATTCAGCATTTATAAGAGGCAGTACCAAACCGTGTTCTGCTTCTCCATGATACAAATTGCATATAATACCATGATTTGAGCAATATTTATATTAACTAGCGCCATGAGATTCATCTTACTTAGAATATCTGATGTTTCCCACAATTAAGGGGGAAAAGGCAGTTCTATGAGTGGCTGAGTTTCTTCGCTTCTAAATTCCTTTTAGTAATGGGAAGATTGAAGGACAACCCTTTCACTGAAGAAGCAGATGCCAAAAAAGTCTACAGTACTGTTCTGAATTCATCAAAAATGAAATTAGGCACGTGAGCTTCAGCAACCTGAAACCATGAAACAGAAACGTTAAATTACTCACAGTGTTCTAATTCAGAAGTTCAGAATTTTCCACATGAAAGTTAAATGAAAACATGCTTTGGAGCAAGGGGAATCAGGGGAGCGCTGGATTCACAGAGGTGGACTGCTCCTCGAAATTGCTGGCTTCTGTTTCCACTCTTCCTCACCCTGGGGTCTAACTTCTTGGCACTGCTGTCCGAGGGAATGCTGTACAAGGCTCCCTGCCTCCTCCTCGGTTCAGAGGCACTTGGATCTACTAGGAATGCACAGGCCTCTGGGGAGTCCGAAGAGGTCATCTCGGGTCACCTTACAATTCACTGATGACCCACCCGGAGAACAGCATGTCGCACGTGACAGGCCAGAGAGGGAAGACGAGGAAGGGCCTGAAAAGCATGCATTCCTGGACTGTTCTTAGGGGAACCCCTGAGAGGGGTGGAGGAGGGTGAATGGGTAGACGGTAGAGCCAGGTGACTTCCAACTACTAGAAATGGGTATTTTTTAAAAGCAGTCTTTGTTTTTTCTGATTATAAAGGCATCACCTGCTGCTTAGAGGAAATTTAGCAAATAGCAGAGGAATGTAAAAAATCATCTCTCAACCCCTTAGACAAAACTAAACCTGATAATTGTTCTATAATGAATCCCTCTAATTTACACATACATGTGTGTGCACGGGCACAAACACATTCAAAATTAGGATCACATAATCTTGTGTCCTTCACCTCTGCTACATCTTAATGAACATCCTTGCACACATATCTTTGTGAACTTTTGCACATATACAGCAGATAAATTCCAGGCAGTTGAACTGCAGGGACCAGGTGAGTATATGACAAGTTGTTTGTTTGTTTGTTTTTTTAAAGTAAAGCCAAACTGCCCTCCTATAGGATAAACAATTTACACTGCCACTGACAGTACTGAGAAGTCCTATATCTCCAAAGCCTTCCATGCAGTGGGAGCCCAGCATTTAACTTTTTATCAACTGGAGTAAAAAACTGGGTTGGTGGAAACAGTAATTTTACTGTTATTTTGATTTGTGACTCTTGAATTAAGGTCGAACATTTTTACAAATACTATTTGTATTTCTTTTCCTGAAAACTGCCTGCTACTATCCCTTGCCCATTTCTGTTTTTGTTTTCTATTGGATTGGTTATCTCTTTCTTATTCATCTAGAAGAACATGTTATAAATCAAGAAAACCAGTCCTTTGTTCATATTTTCCCCCATTTTTTTTTAAATTAAGAGACATCTGACAGAATTGTGTCATTACATTCGGCATTCATAAGAGATCAGATCTCTAAATTTTCTTTATGGTTTCCTCTGTTGTTTATCTAGAAATTTCTGAGAGCGCATACATATTTGTATAAGATTTCTGAATTTATTGGTTCCATTTTCCACATGATCTATAATTTACTTTGATACACGAAAGATGGGAATAGACTAAGTGGCTAATTTTTAACCACATAATGAACTAACTGTGCCAGCAATGTTGACTAAAATATTTCCTTTCTCCCCTTATTAGAGAGGATACTTTTCCTCAGGTACAACTGTATGCACTTGGATTTGTTTATAGACTACATATTCTGATCTACCAATCCATCTATTGGGTTTCATACCAGTACCACACTATTGATTTTTGTAGTTCTACAGTATTTTTACATACTTGGTATGTTCTAATATTTTCTTTTTAAAAAATTCTACTTTTGTCCCGAGGTCTATAAAATTTAAAAAAATTTTCCCACCCCCCACCCCAAGGTAAAAAAATTATCTGGAATTTTGGTTGGAGCCACAATAAACCTAGAATCTAATAAGAACTACTATTTGAGTTTCCTCATTCAGAGATGGACTTAGAATTTTTATAGTTTTTTCTAAACTGTTATTTTTTTCTAAACTGCCCTTCTTATAGAGGTTATAACTCCGGACTATTTGTTAATTCTGCACGTGGAATATTTTTCACATCCTATTTTTGATTTGGTTATTAGTGTATCTACCTTGTACATTATATATATCTAATATATATCTAATATATATATATCTAATCAGTTTTGTAAGCTTATTATTTTAATAGTTTTCCGCATGATTCTAGTGGGGATTCAAGGAAGACAATTACATCCTCAATAAGTAATACAAATTTGTCTTTCTTTCTTTACGCATTTTAAAATGCTCACTTCTTGGGACGCCTGGGTGGCTCAGTTGCTTAAGCGGCTGCCT